AGTGCAATGCAAGAGAAACAAGTAACAAGCTGTAAAAATAGTAACACTGTTTTAAGCTGAAAATTGAGTCTTCCTGTGCACACACCTAACTGCATGTCCTCCAGTTTTTTGTCAGTTTTATCAGTCCACAAAAAAAATTAATCGTATCTGTGCCAATGGTAACTATTATGGTTTTGGGTTAGTTTGTTAAAGGTTATACTTATTTTTTTTTTTCATGTATATAATCTTTGTTTTAAATGTATTACATAACTAAGGATTGTCAGAGTACTAAAGGTTAGTTAAAATACAGAAAATGCTGTCAGACACAGCTCCGTTTGATTAAAACCTGATTACTGAGCCCTTGGAGAGGGGATGAGTTTTTGCTCTGATGACTACATATTGCAAATGGGCTTCTTTCATTCGCAAATATTCAATAGTAAATGTAAGGAGGAGACCACATCTTTAACTGCTGTCTGTAAAGGAGGAAGAAAATGTAAACGTTAGGGCTGTAGTCACTTGTTTAAATTTTTTTTTTTTTTTTTTATCCTTTCATATATTTCATACAGTGTCCGCCCAGCTCCTGTGAACCTTAGTATACATCAGTATAGGTCTCTCCTCCCTCCTCTCCCTCCTCCTTCCTTCTCCCTCTCCTTGTCTTAATTTGTTCCGTTTAGTTTCACAGTGTGCTAAAATAAACAGTGAGTGGATTATGACCATCTCATTAAAGTGCACATTTTATGAAATGCGTTGCATTTTGAGCAGATGGTCATTACAATCTGTATCACAATCAGTGATTCAGATGTTGCAGTGAAGCCCATATTTGGATCTACAGTTGCGCCTAAGGTAATTCTACTGAAATACAGCTGGATCAAGAGGTTTCAGACTACAACAGAAGAGTTGTTAAATCGGAACCCGCAAATCAGTGCTGCCAACAACATGCTCTTTTACACTGAAAATATTGGATCAATGCATAGATTTCAAAGGAAAATTCATCTTTGCCAACACAAATTATTTTGTGATTCGGAGGATTCACGCTTTATAACATGTTACAGCCGTAATCAAGGTGTAGCATGTTAGTGATGCAGCAGCCCCTGCCCCTCCTCTAATCTCCATTGTGACAGTGGGCTGGGGATATTCTCCCTGCACCCTCTGTCATGATTTAAAAAATATGCAGAGCTCTGGCCACCTGGCTGAGTCACTTTGTTCTGTGAATGGGAGAACTACAACTACTGTCAGCCATTGCTGCTGACCGCTTGTAGTTCTCAGTGAACTACCAGGGCAATCATGAGTGCTCTAGGTAGTTCATTGATCCTTCCTTTTATTCAGTAATGCCTGCCCATATGATGTATTGGCAAATGGCTACACTGACAGTCTGCAGGAGTTTGAGCTTGCACCCATAATGTGCTGATCCCAGGTGCAATGCTTTACAGTCTCCTAATAAAAAAAAAAGTGCATATTTTTTACCTACAAAAAGATGTGCAATTATTATTTTTTTTAAAAAGTTAACTTATCCTTTTAATGCACAGGTCTCCAAACTTTCTAAACAAGGGGCCAGTTTACTGCATTTCAAACTTTAGGGGTGCTAAACTTGGGCCAGTGTGAGACAAAAATGTCTTGCCGTCAATTGGAAGTAAATAATACCCTATCTTTGGTGTCAGTGGGAGGACTAGAGCCCCATTCTTGGTGTCGATGAGAGGAAGTTTGCCCCTTGAATAGTGTCAGTGGAAGGAATAGTTTCCCATTTGTTGGTGTCACTGGAAGGAATATTGCCCCTCCATTTGTGTCGTGCAAAGGAAATGCACTCCTTTTTTGGTGTCAACGGGAGGAATAGAGCTCCTTTTGTTTGTGTCGGTGGGAGGAATAGTGCTCCTTTGTTGGTGTCAGTGGGAGGAATATTGCCCCATCCTTGGGGTCAATGGAGTGAATTCTGCCTCATTGATTAGTGTCAGTGGGAGGAATAGTGCCCCATTGTTGGTGTCAGTGGATGGAATAGTGCCCCAAGGATCAGATTAAGGCAAGCAAAGGGCCACATCGGGACCCCGGGCTGCACTTTAGAGACTGCTGCTTTTAATGTTATGAAAACTGACTTTTTTTTTTTTTCTTCCTGTGGCTGTTGAGTTCTTTTAATAAATGGTCAGAAATGTCAAATGTAATTTCCTTGCAATCCGGCAGACTGGGAGTATGTTCTGTGCCATTTTTGTGTACAGAATGCCTCTACATATCTTGTTGCATACCATTGTAATTTGTTTGAAGTCTCCATTTAGAGGTATGCCCTGCATTTTTCCTAAGATATGACTATAGTTGAAGCATACATTAAAACAAACCTATGCCGTATATCTCTGCAATACATGCATGTTACCCCATTTTTTTTATCCCTGTAAAGACCCAGCATGTACAGAAAAATACCCCTTGATCTGCATACACTCGGTACTCTACGTGGTATTAAACCGAAAAGCAAATATTTTATTATTTTTCAGCTTACCAATTCTTAGATGTGATGGCTGCATTTTCTTTTCAATAAAGGCTTTCTTTGCTTTATTTTAATCCGGTGATCCTGACAGTAAGTCTGTTTCATCAGAACAAACGGTCCTACAGATTTCGCAGTTAAAGGATTGAGGCAAACCATTTAACACTTGCAGGGGGTGCTTACAATGTTTAGCTTTTTATTTATGCAAAACCTTTTATCCCAAAAGGAGCATAACTGTTTGCTGTAACTACTTATAAAGTTTTGCTGGAATTTTAGTTTTATTTAAATCAGCATCTAAAGTCCCATCCCTGCCACCCCCACAGATCAGAGGCATGCACTTTTTAGAACTAGTTAGCAGTGACAGCACTATTTCTATACTTTTTAATGCATCTCCAGTTTATAGAGATAACAGTTATGCCTTTTTATACTTTTTTTGACATGCTGCACATTGACTGATTTACTTGTTCCACTGATGATTGTTAACTTTTTTTACCCCTACACGGAGATCTCATTCACATGCTTTGGTGGTGTACCAAAAAGCTTTGCTAGTAGGAATCCATGGTAGACAATCATAGCCTCCCTAGCGGTCTGATTATGTCAGTATTTCTGTGCTTGAGCACGGTACATTTTTTTGCTTAGAAATATGTATTTTTTTTTTTTTTTTTTTTTTTTTTTTTTTTTTGTAGGTTTGTAATTTTTAGGAATAACTCACTGAAATCTGTCTGAACAAGAGTCTAGTAAACATCCCGGGTATGTTAAAATTTGAAACACAAAATCATAAATTATAATTTAATAATCATTAAAAAATAATCTAATAAATTTAATTCAATAATATACCGTATTTTTCGCACCATAAAACACACCTTTTTTCCCCCCAAAAAAGGGGGGAAAATGTCAGTGCGTCTTATGGAGCGAATATAAAGCGGCCGGTCCGGTATTTTTGCGACCACCATGTCAGAATACCGGGCCGGCCGCTCAGCTGTTGTCTCCTGCAGGGCCTTACCTGTTCCTCGCTCCAGCGCTGCACAGTCTTCCCGCGCTGGCTTCTGTGACAGCCGGGTGCCCACTGCGCATGTGCTGCGCTTTGTGAATGATCCGGTGTCTTCTGGGACACATGAAAGGTCCCAGAAGGCGCCGGGCCATTCACAAAGCGAAGCGCTTCTCGCACCTGCGCAGTGGGCACCCGGCTGTCACAGAAGCCGGCCCGGGAAGAAGAGGGAAGGCAACTCCGCGGAAGTGGGAGCGGGTTCCTGTCAAATTCATGTACCCGCTCCCCCTCCCTCCCCAAAGGTCAGCAGTCTCTGGTCATCTCCTTCACTGTCTGCAGTCTCTGGTCATCCCCTTCACTGTCTGCAGTCTCTGGTCATTCCCTGCACTGTCTGCAGTCTCTGGTCATCTCCTGTACTGTGTCCGCAGTCTCTGGTCATCTCCTGTACTGTGTCCGCAGTCTCTGGTCATCTCCTGTACTGTGTCCGCAGTCTCTGGTCATCTCCTGTACTGTGTCCGCAGTCTCTGGTCATCTCCTGTACTGTGTCCGCAGTCTCTGGTCATCTCCTGCACTGTGTCCGCAGTCTCTGGTCATCTCCTGTACTGTGTCCGCAGTCTCTGGTCATCTCCTGTACTGTGTCCGCAGTCTCTGGTCATCTCCTGTACTATGTCCGCAGTCTCTTGGTCATCCCCTTCACTGTCTGCAGTCTCTTGGTCATCCCCTTCACTGTCTGCAGTCTCTGGTCATCCCCTTCACTGTCTGTCTGCAGTCTCTGGTCATCCCCTGCACTGTCTGCAGTCTCTGGTCATCCCCTGCACTGTCTGCAGTCTCTGGTCATCCCCTGCACTGTCTGCAGTCTCTGGTCATCCCCTGCACTGTCTGCAGTCTCTGGTCATCCCCTTCACTGTCTGCAGTCTCTGGTCATCCCCTGCACTGTCTGCAGTCTCTGGTCATCCCCTGCACTGTCTGCAGTCTCTGGTCATCCCCTGCACTGTCTGCAGTCTCTGGTCATCCCCTGCACTGTCTGCAGTCTCTGGTCATCCCCTGCACTGTCTGCAGTCTCTGGTCATCCCCTGCACTGTCTGCAGTCTCTGGTCATCCCCTGCACTGTCTGCAGTCTCTGGTCATCCCCTGCACTGTCTGCAGTCTCTGGTCATCCCCTGCACTGTCTGCAGTCTCTGGTCATCCCCTGCACTGTCTGCAGTCTCTGGTCATCCCCTGCACTGTCTGCAGTCTCTGGTCATCCCCTGCACTGTCCGCAGTCTCTGGTCATCCCTGTACTGTGTCCGCAGTCTCTGGTCATCTCCTGCACTGTGTCCGCAGTCTCTGGTCATCTCCTGCACTGTGTCCGCAGTCTCTGGTCATCTCCTGCACTGTGTCCGCAGTCTCTGGTCATCTCCTGCACTGTGTCCGCAGTCTCTGGTCATCTCCTGCACTGTGTCCGCAGTCTCTGGTCATCTCCTGCACTGTGTCCGCAGTCTCTGGTCATCTCCTGCACTGTGTCCGCAGTCTCTGGTCATCTCCTGCACTGTGTCCGCAGTCTCTGGTCATCTCCTGTACTGTGTCCGCAGTCTCTGGTCATCTCCTGTACTGTGTCCGCAGTCTCTGGTCATCTCCTGTACTGTGTCCGCAGTCTCTGGTCATCTCCTGTACTGTGTCCGCAGTCTCTGGTCATCTCCTGTACTGTGTCCGCAGTCTCTGGTCATCTCCTGTACTGTGTCCGCAGTCTCTGGTCATCCCTGTACTGTGTCTGCAGTCCATTGGTTCATTGGTTCAGAATATTTTTTTTTTTCTTGTTTTTCACCTCTAAAACCTAGGTGCGTCTTATGGTCAGGTGCGTCTTATGGAGCGAAAAATACGGTAATTAAACCAAAAACACTGAAATTTGAAATATAACGCCAAGTTTGCACATCAAAATCGTTTTCAGTGTCTGATGACGAATTTCCCCACGAATCATCACTCAATTCTGCAAGTGGTTCTGATTTACTATCGCTGTTCTCTAGCTGGTTTAAAACCGATTTTGACCTAAAGGGACACTTTTTGGACGCCATGGACATTTCTCAGTTTCAAGGCAGAAAGAACGGTAAAAATGCAGGCAGGGCACAGGACAAAGCACTCGGGACAAAATGTATGTGAAATGGTTTGATACAGTAATGTTTTACTATGTGATTTTAGTGAATTTAGTGAATGTCACTTTTTGAAATTTTTACATTTCCCGCCAGTTCCGTCCCTGTACGTCCTCACGTCGCAGGGAATGGAACCTGGAAGACAGATGTCGGCATCAGCCGGAGGACATGGCTGGGGACACTACAGGAGGGACATCGCGGGAGCGCAGGACAAGGTAAGTGAAGAAGAGATCCCAGAGCAGTGCTGCATAGTATTCCTGAGTGTAGCTTGGGGGTTACCGCTTGTGGTGCTGAAACTTTACCCCGAGCTACACTCGGGAATACCTCCAGGAAGGTTAACCACTTGCCCTCCAGAAGATTTTGCCCCTTCCTGACCAGGTCATTTTTTTGCTGCGGCGTTACTTTAACTGACAATTGCACGGTCATGCAACGCTGTACATAAAAGAAAGTTAGGTATTTGATCAGCTCTGCAATTTTTTACTTTTTGTGTTTATAAACAAAAAAAGACCGACCATTTCGGGAAAAAAACAAAACATATTTTTTATTTTCTATTAAATATATCCAAGGAAAGTTTTGTTTAAACATAAACGTTCTTCATAAATTTAGGCCAAAATGTATTCTGCTACATATTTTTTTTGTAAAACAAATTTATTCTAAATTGATGTTTTAAAAATGTTTAGACTGGAAATAGAGGGTGCCATACAAGAGTCTGCTTGATCTCCAGATAAGAACACAGTACACATGAAGACTTAGAACCACTTTAAATCTTGTATATGAAAGGTATATTATTAGAACGCCTAAACATCCCCCTTCACCCACCCCCTTTACTTTCCTGAGCCCTCATTTGATCCAGCGCCATGCATGCCTACCGCTGTCTTGCTGGCTGTGCTGGGGCACTGGGAGACATTGGCTCCCAGCTTGGGAATGAGCATGCACGAGTGCCCCCATGAAAAGTGGCTTCCTGTGAGAGTACTGGACAGAGAGGAGGGGCCAGTAGTGCCAGCGGTGGACCCAAGAAGAGGAGGTTCATGGCTGCTCTGTGCAATACAGTGTGTTTGAAAACAAAATTCGTAAAAAAAAAAAAAATTACTTTTGTTTTTTTTTTTTGTTTTACATACTTTCACCAGTTAGTGTTCCTGATCAACGCCACACCAGTTATATAATAACGTGATAGTGGACTGGTGATTAATATGTGTAAAAAAAAAAAAAAAAACATTTTTTAGTTTCTTCATTTTCCCAAAAATTACAACTTGGAAAAAAAACTCACCAAGCCTTTTACTAAATACATTGGACTGTATTTCCCAAAAATGGGTAATTTTGGGGGTATTTGTACTATCCTGGTGTTTCCGAGCCTCAATAAATAAGGCTGTCAGTACATCAGGATTGATCAATTGTGAGATAGAGAATATATATATATATATATATATATATATATATATATATATATATAAAAATTTTTTTTTTCATGGACAATGCTGCATGTTTTATTTATTCTATTATAAATGCATTAATATGAACATTAATGTGACATTTGGTGCAGGAGCAATACAAGCCACAAGACGTCTTTGTAAATTATAATATAGGAGCAGTACATGTGGAGAATCTTCACTAGTCCTTACTTTTTTTTTTTTTTTTTTTTTTTTCGGATATGGCTTCCCTTGCAATTAGTAGTTTTTCTGAAGTATTCATTTTTTTTTTTTTTTTTTTTTTTTTTTTTTTCTTTTTTTATTCGGTAGGCGCTTCCAACAGTTTGAGGGGTTCATGAAATCGCACAATGAATTCTGTGTGGTCGTGCTAGGGTAAAAGTACATTTTTTTTTTTTTTTCTTGTGTGTGTAATTAAAAGCAGCATTCATCCAAGGGGCAATAAATAATCTGAAAATTAAAAAGAGTCCTGAAGGCTTAGAAATGAAATCCTACGCAGTATCATGGGAATTCCATACTTTAGAGAAAAACATGCAGAAATGTGATTTATTTCTGCTCTAGAAACCCAGAGGATTATGTACTGCATGAAGTAGTGCGTATTAAAGGCCCATTTCAATTTGCTTGTCATCTGTTATTTTATGGGCCAAGAAGAGCAGAGGGGAAGTTTGATTGTATTCCCCCACTCACATTGCTGAGAGACACTCGTGCTGCTAACATATAATTTTCTACAATAATTTGTCTTCGATTTTACACAAAAACCCTTTCTGTTTAATTCCCCCTACCCCCTTCCAGTCCCACGGTTTTAAATATGTCCCGAACATAGCATCTAACATTTCAGTGAACTGGAAATGATGTATGATATAGTGGTGAAAAGGTGTTTGAACTGGGTCATCTTTTTACTGCACTACACACTCTGTCATTCATGTCACATAAAAGCCTAAAAATCAGTATATAAAAGATGGGGTGCTTTGTGGTCATAACTGCTTTGGTTCTTTTTTTTGTTTTGTGTTTTTTTTTTTTTTTTTTTTTTTCCCCTACTTTTTCATTTTTCACTTCTAATATACTGTTCTAAACCATGTAGAGTAAGTCTATAGCTTTGAAGAGTGAATTGCCTGATATTGGAACAGAAACTACACTTTCATGCAAACATAATATTAGATTTTTTACTTTTAATATTGTATTGCCCATAAGGGTTACTGCATGAAGGTTGAAATATTGTATGAAAGTTGTCAGTTTTTTTCCTATTTAGTCTCTCATATTTTTTTTATAGCTTTGGAAATGTTATGTATACAAGATTTTTTATTAAAATAAAATAATTTGCTTTAATTCAGTATGATAGTGTCCTATCTAGTTATTTTTGATGTTTTAGGAATATTTCTATGCTACATAATTTTTAGCGGAATTTCTGTGACTTCATGGTTGTAGATGTTGTCTTTTTGCTATTCCTGGTGTTGCAGATGCTATAGTTTGTCTTACCATTTGATTTTATGTTTTTGGACTGTATGTATTAATGAATGAAGGAATTCAGGGCATTAATAGTTCTTGCTCTGTAAATTGTTTCCAAACCCCCTGACATGTAATATTGTGCAGTCTACCAGTCCTTAGATGTGGTGGCTGCATTTTTCTTTTTTTTGTTTTGTTTTAAGCTTTTTTTTTTTTCCCCTTTATTTCTCACTTGACTATCTTATGAATAATACATTTCATGTAACGGAGTGGCTATGCTCACTCCTTCACTGTATCCATGAAAGGAGCCACTAAGAAAGTGATTTTGTTTTGCTACATGGATGCTTATGGGATTATTATTTTACAGATGGGAGACAACATTGATTTTCTACCTGTTCATCTCACAGGATTTGATGAGGACACTCTATTTCTGGCATGTTAAACTATTTTCTATACTTGCTGAAAACATTCAAAGCCTGAAAAATTTACCAAATGTAGATGTAATGAATTAGTAATGAATGTAATGGTATAGTTCTCCTTTAGGCCAATATTGGCTAAATCTCAAAGATGTGTCTAGCATTAGGGATCAATTGCTTTGCAGAATTGGTCATGATGGTTAATAACGTTTTCATTAAAAGGTATGTATTTTCTGTTAATGAAGTGGCTGATTATGTGTACAATTAGGAAGATACCTGCATGAAAACTACATAGCCCCCTTCACCGCAGCTATCATGAAATCAGTTGTCTCACACACTCATGCACTTGTGCACTTTTTTTCAGTGGAATCAACACTGTATACTCACTTTGGTGGCTTGCAGATGGACCTATGCACTGTAATTTCCAGCATATTTCCCCTGCCTGGATAGCCCAGGTGCTGCAAACAGCCGCACATAGACATGAATGACAGTGTGCACCTGTACGCCAGTCAACATGTACATATAGTGTATGGGTGTATGCAAACAAAATGCAAATATGTACATCTGCACACAAGCATTACAGTCAATAGGCGACTGTATAGGGAAATAGGTTCCTGGGTGGGGAAATGGACTGCAATTTACATTGCACAAGCTCAGATGTCCTATAGTATGTGCATGTCTATAGCAGAGGCTTTCTTGGTAACGTGACAACTACACGATTTCTGCAGATATGGCTGTACTTTTGAACTTCTTCCCTTTTGAGACTATCTAACTCTCTCCTACTTCTCAATATTTCTTTGATCCGTATCACAGGTTCTTCTAGCACCTTTAGGGGAAATTGTACATGTTAATGTGAATTCCTTATAGCCATTTAAGAAAATAAATCAAATACAAATCAGGTCTTATCAAGTTTAAATTATTTCAAAAGATTCCCTGAAAAACGTTTATACATATTGAGGGTACTGGAAATAAATATATGTATAGCAAACATTTCAACAACCGCTTTTATAAGGGATGTACTTATTTTATTGAACAGATCAACGTTTGTCAGCATTTCGGCCTCTTGCACACTGAACGATTTTACAGCTACTCCTAGGGGCGTCTGGCTTTTTTCTTTCTTTCTTTCTTTTTTTTTCCTGCCTTTAAACTCCCCAGCATGTTAGCCTATGTGTTCATGCACACCTAGGCTTTTAGCAGCGTTTAGAGGCAGGAAAATAATTCACAACTAATGTGTTCTGGAGCAGCAGAGTTTTGGCAGAAAAAAAACGCTTGATGCTGGTATACTAGTAGGCACGTTTACCAATTCAGCGTTCATTTCAGTAGCCAGAATAAATTTAAAATTCTGGCCAATGCAATGATGTTGGCCTGTAGTTCTCAATGAACTACCAAGGTGCTGTTGAGCGCTCTGGTACTTCATTGATTCTTCCTGTCAGTGTGAAACTGCCTACCTGTACAATGTATCACACTGACAGTCTGCAGGAGTCCTGCATGGCACCAGCAATCTGATGTCATCTGCCTGCCTCTGCATCTAGACCAATCACAGGATGCCTTACAGCTATTCATAAAATATATGGCTTCTGGTGAATGGCTAATTATTCTGCTGAGCCTGACTTTCTCTTCTGGGAACAGGACAGTAAGTCCCTGCTCGGCTGCCCAAACACAGCACTATACTTATGGATGCAACTGCTCTCAGTGCTGTCAGCTACACACAGCTTAAAGGAAAGTGTGTGTGTCTGGCAGAAAACATGGCGTTAGGCTTTAAAGGCGAAGTTTACTTTTAACCACATGTCTGTAGAGCAGCTTATTTTTTGCACATGTTAAAATCTGCATGTTTGGCTCTAAAAGTATTTATTCAACCACCAGAATGTTTTATTTATAATACACACACACACACCCTGCCTTGAAAAACTATTCATACCCCTTGAAATTTTCCACATTTTGTCATATTAAAACCAAAACGTAAATTTATTTTATTGGGATTTTATGTGATGGACCAACACAAAGGTGGCACATAATTATGAAGTGAAAGGAAAATAATAAATGGTTTTAAAAAATTTTTACCTCCTCTAAAAAGTGTGGCGTGCATTTGTATTTGGCCCCCTTTACTCTGATACCCCTAACTAAAGTATAGTGGAACCAATTGCCTTCAGAGGTCACCTAATAAGTAAATGGAATCCACCTGTGTGTACTTTAATCTCACTATAAAAACAGCATCATGAAGACCAAGGAACACATCAGACAGGTCAAGGATAAAGCTGTCAAAGTTTAAACCAGGGTTAGGGTACAAAAAAAATATCCCAAGCTTTGAGTATCTAACAGAGCACTGTTCAATCCATCATTTGAAAATGGGAAAGAGTATGGCACAACTGCAAACCTAACTGACAGGCCAGGCAAGGAGAGCATTAATCAGAGAAGCAGCCAAGAGGCCCATGGTAACTCTGGAGGAGCTGCAGAGATCCACAGGACAACTATTAGTCATGCACTCCACAGATAAGCCTTTATGAAAGATAGGCAAGAAGAAAGCCATTGTGAAAGAAAGCCATAAGAAGCCTCGTTTGCTGTTTGCGAGAAGCCATGTGGGGGACACCGCAAACATGAAAGAAGGTGATCTGGTCAGATGAGACCAAAATTTAACTTTTGGCCAAAAAGCAAAACACACTGCACTTCACTGAGAACACACCATCCCAACTGTGAAACGTGGTGGCAGCATCATGTTGTGGGGATGCTTTTATTCAGCAGGGACAGGGAAACTGGTCAGTGTTGATGAGAAGATGGATGGAGCCAAATACAGGGCAATCTTAAAAGAAAACCAATGAGAGTCTGCAGAAGACTTGAGGCTGGGGCAGAGGTCCACCTTCCAGCAGAACAATGATCCTAAACATACAGCCAGAGCTACAATGGAATGGTTTAGATCAAAGCATATTCATGTGTTAGAATGACCCAGTCAAAGTCCAGACCTAAATCCAATTGAGAATCTGTGGCAAGACTTGAAAAATGCTGTTCACAGAAACTCTCCATCCAGTCTGACAGAGCTTGAGCTAATTTGCAAAGAAGAATGGGCATAAATGTCACTCTAGATGTGCAAAGCTGGTAAAGACATCCCAAAAATTTGCAGAAGTAATTGCAGCTAGAGGTGGTTCTACAAAGCATTGACTCGGGGGCTGAATACAAATGCATGCCACACTTTTCAGATATTTATTTGTAAAAATGTTGAAAACTATTTTTATAATTTTTCCTTCCACTTCACAATTATGTGCCACCTTGTGTTGCTCTTTCACATAAAATCCCAATAAAGTGTGTGTGTGTGTGTATATGTATGTGTATGTATGTGTGTGTGTGTGTGTGTGTGTGTGTGTGTGTGTGTGTGTAATAATAGCAGTCAAACATCACTAAACCTGATCAATCACTATTTTTGGTAGAAATTATATTTCTACATGGCAAATAATTTACTAGCAGGTGTAGTAGAGTAATAGAAATCCAACAAACCCAACAGTCATGACATGCATGCTGCTGATTCTGTGTATTCTGAGAAACAGGTGGCAATTATTGCCCTTATTTAAGGAAGG